TTGCCCTAATAGCCCATTATTTAAACTAATGTGGCATATTTGTTAAAGCTATTATTATTATTATTATTATTATTATTGTCATGATGGTTATTATTATTATATTGTAGCCAGTCACAGCAGGGAAGCTCTATACTATCAACATCTACCAGGACAGGAGATGAGGAAGAGTTCAGGGAAGACACAGAGACAGAAAAAGACCAGGATGAGGGAGAACAGATGGATGAGGGAGAGCAGCAGGATGTGGGAGAACAGCAGGATGTGGGAGAACAGGGAGATGAGCCAGATGAATGAAGAAGAAAGATGAGCTTTAGTCTGTTCTGTTGGTGGTGTGACTTTTTTCCATTGAAAACTTATGTTTAGAGAATGTTACACACAAAAGTCAAATTTCATTCAACATGCGTGTGTATTTTTTTTAAATATAATTAAAGGCACACTATGCAACATTTTTCAGTTAATTAATGTGTTCCATAACGTTTTAGATGATTAAATGAGTCATTTCAGGTTGAACAAAGGTATTCTCGGCCGCCCTGGTGGTCTGTGGGGGAAATACCGCAATTGCAGGAGCACCGACCCGCACCCACAGGCTCAGAAGTCTCGCGAGAGTCGGTCTTGCTTTACGGCGAGAACTGCTACACGCCCCCAGTTAAAAGCATGCTCGTTGCTAGCACAGTGGCGATCTTTGTGCAGTTATGCTACGTTCACATCGGACGCAGCAAAAGCAGCAAAATCGCGTCTGCTGCTTTATTTTTACTGCTTGTACCAGTTAGTTCTGACGCGCGGCTGAAGCAGCTTTGCTGCTCTGGCTGTGCGGTGCAAAAGTGTGTCTGACGCGCGTTGGGCGGAGCTTCACTATCCTTTCTCTGCCTTGCAGCTATATTTGCTGTGATCAGTGGGAATAAAGTAGTTTTAATATGTTTTTAAGTGAGAAAATACACCTGAAAACGTAATCAGTGCAGTCAGATCATTTAGATTATCATCCTGCCTTCAATATTTTTTCTGTCGGAGCCGCTCAGACCCCCACATACCAGCGGTGCGCCGACAGTAGGAATCCCTTCATCAGCAGCCTCTGGCCGGCAGCTGGTAGGTGTTTTTCATCTAAATAATCCAAACTGCAGGCAGCAGGATAATAAAAGCGAACGTAGCATAAACTCGCCTTGACGCGCTGCTTCAGCTGCTCAGACGCGCTGCGCCTGCTGCTCAAAACGCACCGCGGGACCTTGCCCCCCCCTCCTGAGCACCTGCCACCCAAAATGTCTGTGCACGCCTCTGCTTTTTAGGTATCTATACTTTACTCCATTACTTATTTTTCTTCCTACTTCTGACTTCTACTCATTACATTTTCACACAAGTATCTGTACTTTCTATTCCTTACATTTTTAAAACAAACGTTACTCGTTACTCTTGGCTTAATGTTTAATGTTAATGAATATTTATTTCACGTCATGTGCGCCATCCAATGTAGATCATTGCCGCCATCCACATCTACTGGTGTAATTGGATGAGTTATATAACGCAAACACTCATTGGTTAGCTAAAGGAAATCATCAGAAACAATTAGGTGTTCTTCAAACTGAAAATGTGAATTGTCTATGCCATGATACAATGTAGGATTCAGAAAAAGATGTTGAAATGTCTGAAAGGTCGGACACAGGCGAGAGCGTATCGGGAGACGGAGACCAACAAGACCTCCCTCATCCTTGGCTCTATCTCAAAGAATTTTTCTAATTAGTCGGAAAATTGAGCTTTCAATTAATATAGTAGCATCTGCCTGTTTTTCTAAAGGTTACTTTATACAAGTAGTTTTTGGAGCACATACTTTTTCACTTTTACTTGAGTAAAGAGGTCCAGTTGAAACTTCAACTTTTACTAGAGTGTTTTTAAACTGCAGTATCTATACTTCTACTTAAGTAACAAATGTGTACTTCTGACCACCACTGTTTTTACGTTATTCTGAAGGACATAACCACACTAGACTTCAGGAAGCTTTTCCCCAGTTAAATTCACAAGATTCCCATACTAGGGAGTGGACTCAGCCCCCAATGTCCATAGGTCCAGGAAACGCCCCTGGGCATCATATGTATCGAAATTATCAGATATCATACCTACCTCATACTGATAGAGGTCCACAATTCTTAGATAGTTTTTCATGTTGTCACAGAATCAAATGGTTTATTGAGATTTTACATATCTGTTAAAAATCTTACTAAGGTTTCCGAACAATAATAAAGCAAAAGTATTTTGATTCTATCACATCTTCATACAGCTAACAACAATCCCTTTACAAAGTGCTCAAATCTAACACTAATAACTTAACCACACAATTTTTAAGTAAATTCAAATGTTCGATCCATTTCATTTTTTTATTTAACAAAAAATTCGTACTAGTTCAGATGTAGTGCCGCAGTTCGCCACAGGAGGGCTCAGGCAATAAATGGCGATTAAACAAACAGAAACTGGCTGCAGTGCAGAAAAACGCACAACAAGCTGATATTTACCCGTAAAATGGAACAGCGGTGATTTCAAATACGCCCCGAAACAAACATCCAACATTTCAGATCATCCTCCACAAGTTACATTGTGACATTTACAGAGAAAATAGCGAAGAAATACAAAAAACGGCTCCATGTTCATCTCACCCTCTCTGTGATTGACAGGAACTACGGGAACCCAGGAATGCCAAGATAGACTAAACGCACACAACAGACGCATTCTAAAATCCAACCTTCTACTCACTGGGAAGACTTTGACTTGACTTGGATTTTATTTTTGTGTCAGATACAGCAGTGCCCTGCCTGAATGGGCGTAGAAGACAGACACTCATTATACAAAATAAAACATGACAGCTGTATACAGATCACACCACTCAGTTAAACAGAATTTAATCTACTCAGACCAGAGGTAGGCCTTCTGGGCCATCATCAGGAAGGGCCCTCAATAAAAATTTAAAGGAAGCTTTTTATAGATCTGCAGAGTCACACTCTGCCACATCATCACATCATTGCATCATACACAATCTGTTTGTAAATACTGAACCATTGTTACGTGTGAATGTGCGTCCATGTTTTTTTTTTTTTTTTCCTCTTCACAGAGATTGTGTGTTGCTAGTGGGGAAGGCATGATTGATACTGAGTATTTATTTATTTTTTACTTGTCAGGTTGGGTCTGAACTGCTCCCTCCCCCAACAACATCTCAAGTCTCCGATAAGTGCGGAGCCTATTCCCCCTGTCCTGCCCTCCCTCCGCTGGCTGGCGCCTGGGCTCACCGATGCAATGATGGTGCTCGGTGTTTGGGGGTGGATGCCCGGATGGGGACTGGCTTATTCCTGGTGGCTGCTCAGGGCGCCCCTGGGGCCTCGGGTCCCTGGAGCCAATGGCCGGGTCCTCTTCGGGGTGGCTGGCTGCCGGTGGAGCCCGTGGACTCGCCCCCGTGGCTCCTGGGGGCTCCGGCATTGCGGTGGCTAGGGGTTTTCCTCAGGGTCGTCTCTCCTCCTCCCTTAGTAGGGGGGCAGATTTCCTGGTTTGGCACCTCCTTGGCACCTTTGCTCTTAGGGTCCCTTGCTTTGGGTCCCCCGGCGCTCGCCTTGGTGCTCTGGGGGACGCATCTTCCGCTCTTCACAACCAATATTGAGCATATACTTTACATGCACAATTGCTCTTTCACAAGCAACTACAGGTGCTTGGTTCCAGGTACTTAGAGATTCACTTCCATACAGAAAGTCCATATCCTTATCTTCAGCTACCACAGTATAGATGTCAGATTAAATAATACCACTTATACTATAGTATCAAGGTGTTACTTTATTGTATCTCTTATATTATATCCTTTTGTTGTGCTGTTCTTTTTACATCTCTTTGCAGGTGATGAAGCAGACTGAAAATGTTTTATCGTTATCTCCCTTTTATCTCCTCTGTCTTTCATCTTTTCTCCTTTTTTTCTGTTTTTCTTTCCTGTTTTGCTTACATTGCAATGTCCTTAAATCTGTAATACTCCCTGCATAATTACAATAAAGCTTTTAGATGCATAAATTAAGCGGAACGCTATGGTGATAGCCCTACTGCTCCACTCGTGAAAGCAAAATCTGTTGGGCTCTCTTTGGCATCAAGACAATTATTCTTATTGCCACATCGCCAGACAGAACGCTGTTAAAAAAATAAAATAAAAATAATGAACCATTTACTGACTCCGGTTATATTTACATAATACACAGCGTTTTTAGATCAAAGACAATGCACACTACAAGATCTTTCTCTGTTAAGAATGAGCATCTCTGTCTGTTTGATCCATTTTCATTTCCAAACCCGTTACTTACAAAATCAGTATAATTATTTTTTATCCTGACAGAAGAACTGTCCTAAATAATAAACTGCTTGGGGAAAACATTGCTTTCAATATTTTATAGTGTTACATCATGGGCAGGAAAACAGTTGCCATGTAATACAGCTGCCATACTTAACCGGTAGGTAACATTAGGGTTTAACAGGTGTATACATGAATGACAAATAATAATCCTAACAAGATAATTAATTATCGTGAATAATACAGGGCTGCATGCACAACCTTGAGAAGTACCTTTCTCCACATTTGTATCAAGCCACTGTCTCTGGTTATTAAGGCTTGGTTTAAGACAAGGAATGTGACAGTGTAGCTGTAGTTCACGTCCCGCATCCTTTCTTCCTTCCATTGAATTTTCCATGGATTTGCTTGGATACAGCACTCTGTAAGCATTAATAATCTTTAATGTTCTCTTCCTTGCGTTTATTAACAACAAAGTCAGCAGTTTCCAATGTATACCATGACAAAACATATCAGGAAATTTTTTTTTATTTTTTAAGTTTTTTTTATAGTTTCCTAAACATTAATATAATCTTAATATTTTTTCAGAGTGTGTTTATTTAAACAGATGATGTTAAAATTAAAATTATAAAGTTTGTAATGTGAAAAACATCAATTTTTTTTTTTTTTTTAATATCAAGTTTTAATCAGTCATTACGCTTCCAATTGACGTAATCAAAGCGCGACATCTTCGGGACTAGCAAAAGTGAGGTTAACCCAGCGCGGCTAACGTCTGGACTCTCTGGGATTAACTGGTGGTTTCTCACCTGAATCGAGGAGACATCAGGTAGGACTGACCAGTCGCTGTATTTTAGGCCTTGATACGGAACCAGGAGGTTATTTTTATCACGGAAGAAACAGAACCTTTACCGTAATGCGAAGGGATCGTTAGCTGTGGAGCTAACATCGTGAGAAGGCGGATACGCCAAACTCAACGATTAAATTGATATAAAATAATAAAAACGCAGTAAAATGAATTAATGCACATTATAAGAAATAGATCCACAACATTTTAGGAAGTTTGGACCCGTTGTTTACTCCGGCTCACTTTAAATAGTTGTATAAGCTTCCCGGTGTCAATATTTAAAGCCCCTAGCATCGCGGATCAAATATGATTAAACTGTGAAACCATCCGCTTCCAGTCCAGGAAGTTTCCATGTGATGTTCTCTCACAGGCCGTTAACAGCAGATCCGGAACGAGGATTCAAAGTTCTCGAACCTTCTTCTTATGGTTAAGCCACAGGAACTGCGTGGCGCTCCTCAGCCAGTGCGTGTAGCCTCGATTAGGACCACACTCAGGACAGAGACACTGAAACACGTCGCTTTGAACGTTATGACAGAAACAACACAATAAATGAACTGATAGAGAGGATTAATCGAGCTCTGTGATCTACAGGCGGAGGCTGTTGCAGCCTCAGACTGGCAGATCACTCTCTGTTTGCTCTCAATTCATCTGCTAAAAGGAGAAGGGATGAGGGAGACTGGAGCCTTCAGCCCAAATAGGATCAGTTTTAGTTTCTAAACCTGAGTTGATCAAAGGTCTTCCAAACCAAAGTCAGCATTTTTCTCTGCTGTCAGAGATTAACTCTCGGGCTGTAATCTGATAAATGGTGTTTACCTGACTCCCTCTCATCCAGGTGTGTCTTCCTCAGTAAACAGAAGACTGAATCTCCTGCACCATGACAGACACAAAGCGACTCGCCTTTTCTATCATCCAGTTCCTCCACGATCAGCTCCAGTCAGGGAATCTGTCCTCAGACGCTCAGGAGAGCCTGGAAGGTGAGTCCTCTGGGAGGAAAACGTTCCGGTTTGGTTTTGATCTGATTGACAGTAGAAGGAGAGAAAGATTGGTCTTTTCTTCAGGTTTCTGTGTTCTTCTGCTCCTTAGTTGCTGTTCAGTGTTTAGAGACGGCATTTGACGTCTCCACCGATGACGGGAGCCTCGCCGTCCCGCTCACATTACCAGAGATCTTCGCCTCTGCAACAGCCAAGGTAAACGCTTCCTGCAGCGCTGTGAGTCGTTGGACTAAACAGTTGTAGTGATCTGTTTTGTTTTAGTTTTTTCCTCTCCATGTTTTAGCCTCACATCCTCTCAGTACAAGAACACTTTTTTAAAAGCAAACATTGAGTAAAGACCAGAACATACAAATCCGATTTTGCGTCCGATCTGCCAGAAAATTGTGTCGGAGGTTGTGGCGTTTAACGCTCATTGAAAATCAATGGGGATGATCACACCTGACACAAGTTTACGAAAGGGGGTTTGCGTAGCCTGACTAAAATAGACTTGGGGGACGTGGTTACAAAGTAAAACTACAAAACAATCTGTTAATTGCACAGGGAAAGAGTCACATATCGTATACATAGCAAGCGGGACAGACTCGTGCAAAAACAATCAATGAAACATTAAAAAAGTACCTTTTACCCATGATAGTAGTTCAGGAGGACAGAAAATGGTTAAAGTAGTTATCCTCTTTGAGAATTTGCAAAAAAAACAACCAGGGACAGAATGTGCAGTTTATCAGTCTCAACCAAAAAAAAAATAACTTTAGGAGGAGAAAAATAGATATAGTAAAATAGTGATCCTCTTTGAGCTTCACAAAAAAAATAAAAATAATAACCAGGGGCAGACAGAGAAGGTAAGCATGGCGCATCTCTCACCTCTTTATGGAAAAAAAAGGAAAAACTCAAACTACATGAGATGTAGATCTCATGTTTTTAATGTTGGCAAATTAACATTCTCTTATCTGTTCTGTTTTGAGATGCTACACATGTGGGGCTTTGCTTTATAGCTGCACCGGCGTTTTTATTGTTAAGAATACATTTTCATAATCTGTCCAAGTCAAATTTGGGAAATTGTTTTAATTTGTGTATAGCACAGAGACAGAAGTGAAAACAATCTGTGCAGGTCTGCCCACCCTGCCTATAGTCAGACAATCTCTCTACGCAGTCAGTGTGAGGTGGAAAAAAATTGGATCTGAAATTAAAAAGTCGTAGGCAGTCGGGTGTGTTTAAATAATGTGTAAAATTAATGGATCAGGCAAAAAATAAAATTTTCTTTGGTTTTATGTCACCAGATGAAAACTCAGCTGATTGAGTTTTTCTGTGCTGCTTCTGATATTTTCTGTTTTTTTCCAGTTTCCAGCTCAGTCGCAGGCCAATAACAACACCGCCCCATGTTCACCGACGGAAGAGCAGAAAGCTGAGGCAGAGCGGTTGAAAACCGACGGTGAGTTCTGGCATCTGAACCAGCAGCAGATTCAGGCTCTGGTTGGTTCTGGGCCAGAGGAGCCATCACAGCCCTGAAATGTCTGTCGGCTCCATGGAAATGGTTTAAATCAGGGTCAGAACTGTTCTTTCCGTTTGACTCGACCCAACTCCTCAGGAAGAAGAACCTGACACCTCAGTCCAAATTTAGATTAGACCTTAAAGATTAATCTGACTGTGTTGCCTTATATTAGACTTGGAGCCCAAAACCCAAATAGCACAATGAAGTTCTGCTGTTCTGTTCAGCTGCTTTTTTTCTCCTTTGTCTCTACTAAAATAAAGCTAACCATCAGTTCTGGTTCATTAAGCATTTTATAAGATCCAAAGTAAAAGTTTTCTCACAACAAAAAAACTAATTGTTTTTAAAACTTCCAGACACACAGCACATCATGGACCAATTTCCTCTTCCTGATCCCAGTCTTTGTGGTTTTTAACCCCTTAAATCCTGAAATGATTTAAAACCTAAAATGATCTCATGTCTTCCTTATGAAATTTCCACCTCCAGTCAAGCAGACATGCTTCCCACAATCAGGACAAAAGTAGTGTTTTGCAGAGACAAAAAGTTTGCTGCATTCCACCTCAAAATGCAGTAAATAGCGTTTCAGAGAGACTAATTTTAAATATTTTCAGGGGATGATACTCCTGGACCCCTAAATCGATGTTGTGTGGGGTTTGAGTCATGTCTGCCGCAACTACACATATGGCTATGTTAAAATGAGAAGGATTTGTCTCCTTGGCTGTAGCGCCCCGGGGGCCTTCTCACCGGTTCTTTTCCTGGGAGCAAGTTATTTACTACTCTTAACTCAAACTGGGTAAAACCATATAAAAAGGACTATAAAACAGGATTAAAAAAGTAACAGAGTTTATTCCAGATCAGGTCGTTACAGGACAGAGAAAAATGCTTAGAGCTATGCACAGCTGTGGTCTCAAAAATCACGTCCGCAAGCGTCCGGCAAAGTTTGAGCTCCGAACAAGGTCATCACCTGCTTCTTATAGCTCATGGGTCTATGTGATGCATCATGTTGATGTTTAGCTGTCCGTATCAGAAACTGACACGCCATCCATTTCTTGAACTTCATGCAGCTTGCTTCTATGCTTCAGGGTTACAGATAGCTCTCCTATCAGACTGGCTCCAAGATGTGCCCATATCCTGTGTACTCTTAAAGACACGAAGGCTGTCCCGATTAGATGACCCCCGTACACATCGTGACATCCACAATGTGAAGGAAGGCCTTCTACTCTGTCTAATCTGGCTAATAAAGTAACAATGCACATGATGTATAAAGAATAAACCTAACAGCTATGCGTTGCACAGCAAAAGGGCTCCACAAGGAGAGGTAGCCAATTTTCCCTCATTGTTTTAGGAGTAAAATGCTTTGGTTTTTTAAATTGATATTAGTAACTCATGTGCTGTGAAGTGTGCACTGTACCGGTCTGTTGTGGTGAAGAGAGAGCTGAGCCAAAAAGCAAAGCTCTTGATTTAGTGGTCAATCTACGTTCCTACCCTCATCTTTGGTCATGAGCTTTGGGTCATGACCGAAAGAATGAGATCCCGGATACAAGCGGCTGAAATGAGTTTTCTTCGTAGTGTGTCTGGGCTCTCCCTTAGAGATGGGGTGAGGAGCTCAGTCATCCAGGGAGGACTCAGAGTAGAGCTGCTGCTCCTCCGCATAGAGAGGAGCCACTTGAGGTGGCTCGGGCATCTGATTAGGATTGCTCCTGGACGTCTCCCTGGTGAGGTGTTCCAGGCACGTCCCACCAGGAGGAGACCCAGGGGGAGACCCAGGACACGCTGGAGGGCCTATGTTTTTCGGCTGAAGTTAAATTATATTATGCAGTGTGGCTTTAATTTCCACCTGTGTTCCCCATATGTACAGGTCAGTCACCTCAAGGGATTGGCCCTTTAAAGCCAGGTCAGTTTTTTTGTTTTTTTTATAGATCACAACTTTACTGTGCAAAGTGTAGAAGTTTTATAATCAAGACCCAGAACTGGTTAAGTTTCAAACTTCTCCTAAATGTTTCCCTTGGAACAGGCTTCGTGCTGCTCCTCAGAGATCCAGGTCAGAGATGGAGCTTACTGAACTGCTGCTTTGAATGTAGAGAACTCTTCCTCTTCACCTACTGACAAATTGAAGTTAATTTGTTTTCTCTGCAGGGAATGACCAGATGAAGGTGGAGAACTTCTCAGCTGCTGTAGAGTTTTACTCCAAGGCCATCGCCCTGAATCCTCAGAACGCCGTCTACTACTGCAACAGGTGGGTCTGCTCTAGAGCTACAGCAGGGAGATTCTGCCTGAGGGGTGAACCTTCTGGTTCATCAGAAGTCACCTTTGTGATGATGTTGCTCCTAAACCTCCTGGGCCCACATTTTCTCAAATTGTTTTAATTTCTGGGCTTTTTCTTTGTTGAGCTGTTGACTCTGAATCTAATGTGAAGGTTTGGAACCAGAACTCCCTAGCAAAGAACCAGCTTCAAACTGGATCTATAGGTTCTATTTCCCGGCAGCGATCATCGTCTCACTGACAGAAAACAGGTTCAGGTTCTAACCTGGTTCTGATGCTGTGTTTTCAGGGCTGCAGCAAACAGCAAACTTGGGAACTACGCCGGCGCCGTGCAGGACTGTGAACAGGCCATCAGAATCGACCCAAACTACAGCAAAGCCTACGGACGGATGGGGTGAGTTTCCGCTGGTTGGACCTGATGAAAGAAAATCTGCAGCTGAGGTTCTGGACTCTACTGGCAACTCCAACTAATCCAGGATCCATCCTCACTCTGGCCCCTTTGAGTTTAACATCACAGAGTTAATTAACGTCCCTGGATTTAGGTTTCAGATCAGAGCTAAACGAGGTTCCCTCAGGTTAAAAAGATCAGAGAGAAGATTGGGCAGTGAGGTTTTCATCCATCCTTCCAATCATTCAACCATCCATCCATCTGACAATTCACCCATCCATCCAACAAACTATTCATTCATCCATTCATACAACGATCCATCCATTATCCATTATCCATCCATTCATTCATTCATCCATCCATCCATTCGTACAACAATCCATCCATTATCCATCCATTCATTCATACATTCATCCATCCATCCATTCATACAACATTTCATCCATCCATCCATTATCCGTTATCCATCCATCCATCCTTCCATCCATCCATCCATTATCCGTTATCCAAATGATTTAAGTGATTAATCTAGGTGGAATTATTTTTATAAATATTTATGATTGCTTATAGTTTTGTCTTAATAAGTATTTGGCTTTTCTTTCAGCCAATGGTCAGTTTTAGGTTCTGTATACGATTATTCTAGGAAACTACGATTCAGATTATCAGGGGATTACCTAACTGGGTCCTGAAACTGAAGCAAAATCAGATTTTTCTGCTTTTAAACTCCGAGGGAACTAAACCAGATGTCAGGATATTGATTACATTTTTTATTCTTGTGAAATGTTGATGGACGTCCAACTGTCCAATAGGGCTGCAACAACGAATCGATAAAATCGATAAAAATCGACTTTTAAAAGCGTTGGCAACGAATTTCATCATCGATTAGTTGTGTTGCGCGATTAATGTGTCATCCGCCGCCGTCGTCATCACATCCACTTGACTGAAGCGGGGGAAGAAGAAAAAATACGGCAGAGCGAGCCAGCGCCGCAGGTGCAGTGTTGCCAACTCAGCGACTTTTCAGACCCCTCCAGCGACTATTTTTCAAAAAAGCGACTAGCGACAAATCTGGCAACTTTTTACGGTGTCACTGGCGGCTTTTGGAGACTCTTACGTGAAAGCATGTATCGTTCCTACTCTGCCGTGGGGCGCCTCCCCCTTTCCCAACTCCGTTCTCCCTCCTCCCGCAGGAGTCCCTCTCAGCGCTGCAGTCAGAGCCGCAGGATGTTTACCCTCAGCGTCCAGACTGCAAATGAAGCGCGCATGCGCCGGGATTGACGGCGCAAATTGATCACAATAATTAAAATAGCCTGCGCTTTGTAAAGTGAAAAAAGTCGTAACATGCAACTTTTGTCAACACAAATGAACATGGCGCGGAACCACCATGTTTGCTTCGTTTTAAAGTGGGGAAACGTAACGTTAGTTTCTCAGGTAGCTCATCTGATGCTTTCCTTACCTTGTTAGTAGGTTACAGACAGTGATAAGGTTGGCTACTTATTTTACTTTTAATTTCATTTGAATTAGCTTAAGCAGCGTTTATATTTACTTTATAAATAAATTAACTTGCAAATTATGAGGGCAAGGCTTTTAAAGTTAAAATCTTCTGGCAAAGATAAAGTAAAGATCCTGCAATTTATGGAAGTAAAGCAGAATAAAATCCAGCAAGATCAGTAATATGTCAATTCATTATATCCCACATTCCTATGTAAATATCTGTCTTTGGAGGATGTGTTTTTTAGCACCCCTAGTTCTCTCATTTTTATTCCAAATACAATTTATAATTTGAATCACAGGGCTATTTTTATCTCTATGGTTCAGTATTTTCTCAAGTAGCAACTTTAACTGCTATACTTTCCTGTCTTAAAAGGCAGAACTCTTCTAGTCTAAAAAAAACTCATTTGTTGAAATGGGGGGACCCATTGTTTGAACCCCTTAGAGGCTTTTAAAAACAAAAATGCCTGTCTTTTTTGGCGCTTTATGAAACAAAGTACCCTATATTTTGTGGATGTACAGCTACATTTCTCATGTAAGTTTGCGTAGTTTTAACACAAACATTTATTTTTCATATTGCACCAGTACAGTTAATGAGCAACCTGTACTTGTGTGCTTGTTTGTTCTGTCTAAAATGTTTATTTTGGAATAAAGAGGTTAATATAAAAAAATATTTTTTGTCCGATTCATCGAAAAAATAATCGGCCGATTCATCGATTTTTAAAATAATTGTTAGTTGCAGCCCTACTGTCCAAGTCTATATTCTGATATTTGGAGGCTTTCTGGGTAATCTTTTATTCTTCGGTTTTGGAACAGGCATGTCCAGGTTTCCCTCCTGGTCCTGTTGCCCCTGGCAGAGGGGAAGTAATGGACTGATGGATGTTTTTTTTATATAAACTCAGTTATTCTCTTTAGTCTGAAGCTTTTCTCAAAGGAACCTCCTCAGCTGCCTGGGTCAATCCTCCTTCTGATGATCACCTGTGTTTGTTTTTAGCTTGGCTCTGACCAGCCTCAACAAACACACTGAAGCTGTTGGCTACTATAAGAAGGCTCTGGAGCTGGACCCCGATAATGACACCTACAAAACCAACATGAAGATCGCAGAGGAGAAGATGGAGACGTCCAGCCCGGTGAGGGCGCAGGAGAGGAAGCCATTTTTTCCCCTGATCCATTTCAGTTCTGTTTGTTTGACATGTTTGTGTTTTTTTTTCTCAGTCGGCAGGTTTGGGTGGAATCGATCTGGCTGGTTTGCTCAGTAACCCTGGATTCATGAACATGGTCAGTTCTGCCTTCACGACTCAAAGAAATACGACCAAAATAGAATAATTTTGTTCATTACAGTCAAACAAACACAATAATTTCATTAAAAAAAATGTTTATTTACTTTTTGGGAATAATATATTACTCAAAGCTTGTAACACTGAGGGTAATACATTTAGTGGGGATGTAGAGAGTAGTTTCTAAATAAAGCTGAACTTTTAACCACATAAATCGTTTCAGCTTTTTAAAATGTCATCTGACCACAAAAGGTGAAATCCGTTTGGTAACACATTAAACAAAGCAGAGGATGGAGTATAAAATCCTGTGGAATAACAGAACTGTTGATGTTTTCCTCTGTTCCTCTGGTATCAGTTTTTACATGTGTGGCTTTCCTCTGCAGGCCTCGACTCTAATGAACAATCCTCAGGTTCAGCAGCTGTAAGTTTCTCACCTTCGTCCTTCAGTTCCTCTTCTTTGTTCTTCCAAATGTATTTCTTGTAATCTTTTTTTTTTTTCCTCAGTATGTCTGGGATGATGTCAGGAGCGTACGGTGGGGTGGGAGCATCTGGAGGTGGAGGAGTAGGGGGCGGAGGTGGTGGAGTCAGCGGAGCAGCAGGTCCAGGATTGGGAGGTCCAGGATTGGGAGGTCCAGGATTGGGAGGTCCAGGATTGGGAGGTCCAGGATTGGGAGGTCCAGGTTTAGGAGGTCCAGGATTGGGAGGTCCAGGATTAGGAGGTGCAGCCTCAGCAGCTCAGGGACCTGCAGATCTGTCCGGCTTGATCCAGGCGTGAGTGTTTCTCCTTTACCTCAAAGTTAAGGGATTAAAGCTGTGAGTTATTAAGACTTTATTGTTGACATTTGTTGGATGGCCTGTAGGGGGCAGCAGTTCGCTCAGCAGATGCAGCAGCAGAACCCAGAACTTATCGAACAGCTAAGGAGTCAAATTCGCAATCGAACGCCCAGCGCTGGAAACGAGGAGCAACAGTGACGACTCTGATCTGTACGTACGAATAATCCTGATTAATCTGGGAACCACTGAACCTGCAGATTTGGAGTAAAGTGCCGTGTTAGGAACATAAGGAACAATCAGGTCTTTGAGGGGAGCTTGGTTATTTAGGACTTTATATGTGAGAAGGAGGATTTTAAATTCTCTTCTAGGTTTACCAAGAAGCCAATGAAGAGAAGCTATGATAGGAGAGATATGATCTCTCTTTTTAATTTTTATCAGAACTTTTGCCGCAGCATTTTGAATCAGCTGAAGGCTTTTAACTACAGATTGTGGAGTTCCTGGGGTCCGTTTCATAAAGCAGGTTCAACAAACTCTGATTCAAATCCTCAACTCTAAATTAAACAAGTGCGTGACAAGTATGAAAAGCCAGTGGAGCCCCGATTTGACAAGTCACCATAAAAACAGGCAACAAGATGTACTTATTTCACCCGACTGGAACTAGTTAACTAATTAAAAAATGAAAAAAAAAAATGTGTTTAAAAGACAGAGAAACTGCGCTACAGCTACAGAGGAGAGGAAGATGGCGAAGATTAGTGCTCAGGTTAATGTGTAGGTTTATAAGAAGTCCCCTATGGCAGGCTGTTTTTACATTTATTAAAAGCACTCTCCTCCTTGTAACATTTGTAGATCACTAAAACAACATTTATTCCTGATCAATATCCCACTCTTAGACTGAACTATAATAATATATTTTCTAGATTGCATTTTTGCCGCAGAAACAGAATTTCAGAAAAAAAAAAAAAAAAATTATACTAGTAAGAATTAAGTTTTATATACCTAGAAATTTTTACCTAGGAGAGCGCTCCTTGCAAAGTATTATGGGATATATCTGCTAGTCTAGTGACCATGGATGATCACTACCTTTCAAGGTGCGTTGTGGGAAATTTTAAGTCTACTACTTTTTAATCCACTAGATGTTTGGACACTCATCTATAATAGCGTAATCACTATATAGTGCCTTATATATGGATTAGGGCGGACATTCGGACACAGCCATAGAGTTTTCTGTAAACCCCTGTTGGTAAAGAATTATAATAGTCCAGCTTTGAAGTAACAAATGCATGGACTAGTTTCTCAGCATCACCCCTGGATAAGATGTGTTTTATTTATGCAATATTCTGGAGATAAAATAAGGATATTCTAAGAACCCCCTTTGATATGGAATTTAAATGACCGGTCCTGATTCACATCATTAAAAGCTCAGAATGACTCGGTTTAACTTCCCTAATTTCAAGTGTGAGTAAAAAGATCCTGAGGTGTGATCTGAGCCTCGCTCTGCAGCATTTCATTTGTTTTTCCTCCTCTGTCTGTTTCAGGTTGAACAGGTTTCCTGGAGGCGGCGTCTGACTTGGTCCCTTTCTGATGTGGATTGTATAACTCAAGGACTATAAGGAAATTTTTCTTTTTTTCCATAACTGTATAATGGAAGCATGAGAGAGTTTAAGCTTTGTTCAGGAACACCCTGCTCCTCCTCCTGCAGCTCGGTGTCGGTTTAAAGAGAATTTCAGCATCAGAAACTCTGATGTTCAACACCTTCAAGTCGGTTTTATTTTAGCTGAAAACAGCATTATGTGACTGAAAAGTATTTCTGTCCATTTCTTGGGATCTCTGAGTGGGTTGGTGGGTGCGTGAGTGAGAAACTGCTTTGGCATAAATGAACTGGAAACTTCTCAGCCATGTGGAGCTGCAGGACGGAGGCTGTTTGAACACACTTTAATTAAAAAGAGCATCTCACCATTTTACTTCCTCTGAGCTCTGATTGTGGTTTTCTCTGTAAACTTGCAGATTTCCAGTTGCTTTTAGGAAGGTTTCAGTGTCTCGGTACACTTGCTGGAAGCCATGATTGATTGACCTAAAAAAAAGATAAATCAAAAGACAAAAACTGGTGGAACTAAAAAAGCAGGTTTAAAAAAAAAAGAAAGTTAAAACCTACACCCTCTGTTGCTTAAGTGAGACGAGGTCTTGACATCAGCATAGAGGACCAGACTTGTGTCCATCATATGAGGGGTCCAACAGACAGGTTAAGGGCCCCTCTTAAGATTTACTACAATATATACTGGAAAATGACTCGACATTTATTATTCTGTTCCTCAATGTAAGTTTTTGACAGTGGTTTTCATGTGTTACCATGGAAACAGTGGCACTTTTTCCCCCAGTAAGTAAATGTAATAAGTAATACATAAACTGTTACTCTGAATGCCAGATGGCTGATAATAGAAACCTTTGTAATGCAGAAGGTGGAGGAAATGGAAACTTCCTCCATGGGTGGTAGAAGGGATTATCAGGAAGATCTTTGGCCAATAATCTGAAGCAAAGGATGCAGGTGGACAGGAAACGTTATCTCTGCAGCTTATTGTCAACTGTTAGCGTAAGTTGTTCTGTAAGCCAGCCAAGAGTTTAAGCAGTTTTCTGGGAGTTAACATCTAAAGACTGGTTCTTAATGTTTGATTCTGGGTCTGAAAATAGATTTTAAGATGAAAAACCTGAGAGGTGCTTGGTGAACTGCTCAAGATTAAAGGGTGAGATTAAATCACCCAGGAGATATTTTTTTTCCAAAAGGGTGAGGATCAGTGAATTGAAGTGAAGGGCGGCTCAATAATCAGAACATGGGTATTAGTTTTGTTCAGAAAAAGAACTGGGCTGGTTTGTGTGAAGGATGAGTGCCTCCAAATCCAAGACCATGGTCATGAGCTGTAAAAGGGTAGAGTGCCTTCTGCGGTTTGGGGAGGATGTACTGCCTGGTGAGGTGTTCCAGGCACGTCCCACTTGGAGGAGACCCAGGATACAGTGGAGAGCCTATGTTTCTCAGCTGGCCTGGGAATGCCTTGGGATTTCCCCAGAGGAGTTGGCTCCAACGGAGAGAGGTCTGGGCCTCATTTCTGAAGCTGCTACCCCTGACCCTGGATAAGTGGAAGACGATGGATGGACAGAAAACTGCCAAGATCTGGGTGCTGAGAACCAGTCAGTTTCTAAAGGCAGAAACAAATCAAGGAAAGGAGCAGGTGTCTGACCCAGGTGGTGTCATCTGATATCACTGCTGGATTAGCAAGAAGCTCTGAGCTTCAAAGTCTTTATTAAATGTATAAAATCTCAGTGATCAGAGAAAGATTCTTAAAGCGAATAATCAATGATAATAAATTTGCTCTAAGAAGCAGAGCCATGGACGGATATGAATCCGTGTATCATTCGTTCTTTCTATTTTCAATTGTCAATCAAAAAATAAAAAATTGACTGGTTATTTTGTTTTTTGTTTTTTATGGTTAAACCAAAAACGAAAAAAGGATTTGTTTTTCATATATCAATTCTAAGCTCAGATCAAGAATACGAAATGGAAAAACGCAGAATTTGATTTTAATATTTAATCGGTACAGTTTACGTGACCCGGAAATAGCTCTTTGCGAGGCAGTGGGGTGATGAAGTGGCTACCATGGCGACGCTAGAACGCTGTTTGTTGTTGCTAGTTAAAAGTACAGTGCACAGAAAAGTTTCAAGAAAAAAGTTATACCTGGAAAATCCTGCTGATTTTCTCCGTTGTCATGTCCTCCTCATTAAGAGTCACACGCTTGGATCCTCGACCGTAACTGTCCATGGCTGATAGGTCCGACTGCCTTATCTGGTGCAGCTTGATCGAACGTGGTGGGGGTAAGCATAGATATCCATAATAAAGCCTTTATTATGGATATCTATGGGGGTAAGCCAATTGTTTTTTTTAGCTAAAGCTCCACCAAACTTCCGGGTCATGTAAACTGTACCGATTAAATATTAAAATCAAATTCTGCGTTGCTGTCCGTTTTTCCATTTCGTATTCTAGATCTGAGCTTAGAATTGATATATGAAAAACAAATCCTTTTTTCGTTTTTGGTTTAACCATAAAAAACAAAATAACCAGTCAATTTTTTATTTTTTGTTTTTTGATTGACAATTATAAATAGAAAGAACGAATGATACACGGATTGATATGGTCTGTCCCATCCCCATAGCTCTACTGTGGAGGAGTTCTGCGTCATCACCAATCCGCCAATCGGCGCTCACGTCGAGAGTGACGCGGAATGGAAACGTTCCAGCGCACCTGCCGGCGGCGTAGAGGACAGATGCTAATGAAGGTAAAGAAGCTGTTTCTGCAGTTTGTTGTGAAAACTTTCCCAAATGTTTTAAAGGTGCTTTAAAAACTTCGGGAATGCCGAGTAGAACAGCGGTTCTAACCGGTCCCGGCTCTGCGCAGAAACCGTAGCTCTGTGCGCAGCTAGCCCCTGTTAGCCGGACAGCTAACCGGAAGTATCCTAATGTGGTCTTTGTTTATAATCATATTACTAAAGGCTACATTACCTGTTTGTAGTGAAGTGTTAATGATTGATTAATACTGAAATATATTGAAGCATTCTGATCTGGCTTGATAAGGAGGAGAAGGTGTTATACTAAAATTCGTCACAGGAAGCATATTATTCCTCGTAGATTAGCTAACAGATGAAGGATTGAAGAAGTTAGTATTTGGTTAAGCGTCCCATCCCTAAGGTTCCTCTTCTTGATTTGAACTGGTGTCGGTTCCAGTTTAAATGTGGAAAACAGATCAAGCAGTAACCATGTCAATTAAAGGGCAAGGTGCCCGAGACTGGGTTCGAGTACGATCTGTCAGAAAACAATTATTAAAAGTAATTTCTGATGATTTCGGGATTCCAAATTTAAGACGCTGCGGACCCAAAAATCCATCCAATAGACCGTCGACAGACGTTTAAATACATTCATGTTATTCAATGTTAGGCCATAGAGCAAAACAATTGCATGTAGAAATTCCCTAATTAAGCATGTTCAGCTTTCATTATTTCCTGGTTGAAGCCTGAATCCCCATTAGCCACCTGATCATGGATTACAGCGGATTCATTTAGGAAGATTAGGGTTGGGAATTGATAAGATTTTCATAATTCCGATTCACTTATCGATTCTGTGAAGTGATTCCGTTCTTTATCGATTCTGTTAAACAATTAACTTGGTAATTGCACAATGACATCCGTCCACCTTCGCCTAGGACATTCTATTTCTGCCTGCCTCGGCGAAAAGAGAAGGCAGTGAACGGGAACTGCCAGCATCTGAACCAGCCAGGCAACCCGTCTCGTCACAGTCATCTTAAATCTAATAGAGAAGACATCAGTTTAATGAAAAAGCATTACTGTACAATTTCGGGAAATAAACTCATCTCCCCCTGATTTAAATAAACGAGCGTCACCTTTCTCTCGCTCCCTGAACTGCATGTTTCGTTAAATCCATTGCAATAATTAGAATCATGTAAGAATTCCAGCTACCAGTAGTTCTAATTAAATCTGCTATCAATGAAGAGCTTGATTAACGAGAAAGGCACTCCCTTAATAACCCCAAAGAGAGGTACGAAATGAGTTTATTTCCAGAAATGGCATATCATTAACTAGGAACCACATTAAGCACAGCCAGTGATCTAAAACTAGCTACTTACCACCAGAGTTGCCTTCCATGCTGGTCATAACTTTAGCTTCTGTCCAGAAGGCATTAAAAACACGACATTCGTTAAAATGTATGCTGTGTTGTGTACGCAGGTGTTTCTGCATGCTGGATGTATTTCCTCCCGCAGATGTAATTGCCACTTTGCAATGATTGCAAAGCGCCTTGTTGTCATCTTTCTCTTCCTGACCTCTTTTGTTTTGCTTTTCTAGACTTACACCTGGTCACATTCTACTTGCTTACTGAATGCCGTGTGCGTAACTTGTAATAAAAACGTGACCTAAGTCATGCTGGTGCTGCCTGGAACTGTTAAGAGAACCGTTAAGCAAGCTGCCAAACGGTGCCAGGGAATTAGAACACACGTTTTTGATTCCCATCCCTAAGGAAGATAAACTTTTGGGAAACAGAAATTAACTGTTTGGTTTATGAAAGAAATACAGATAATATAGATGATAAGATGATATTCTGGGTGTGTTTACGTCCCAAACAGGAATTCACTAAACCGCCTCCTTATTAATGAAGTAAAAACCTTTTGTAGAGAAAATAAATCGGGAACAGAAAATTTCATTTGAGCCTCTGATCATTCAGCTCCTCCCCAATTCATTAAAATGTTTCAGGTAGGCTTGCACAACTAACAATTATTTAGCAAATCGATCAATTAATTGATAATCGGACAGCCAAAGATTCTTTAAAGAAGACTTTTTATGAAATGAAACTAGGTGAAACTAAAACTTTTTCACTTGAGGTTTTCTGAATAGAACATAATTATGGACAAACATTTTTTTTGTCTTAAACGCAAAATGTGTACTTTTTTTTTTTTTTTTTTACAATTTTGTTATAATTACTACCCTAAGTGGGATCCTCTGTTAGCTAAAGGCATGTTTTACAGTCTCTACACTCCAGTTATTGATTACTAAATTAGTTGACGATTATTTTAATAATTAATTGACGTTTAATCCGACTAGTTGTTGAAGCCCTAGTTTCAAGGCTTTCATCACTTCCTTCTACCATGTCAGACCACATACCTTATTCAGTTAATCCGTTCCTGCAGTTAGATAGTTTTTATAAATTAAGGAGATGAACAGTTTTAAAGCTGCTAAAGGCTAATGTGTGATTTTATTCTACGCTATTCAGTGGAAATGTTTTTGTTTATCCTTCAAATCATCAACTGCAGTTTGTAAATTCTAATAACTCTACTGTAAATCAGTGGATCTGAACATTCTGCTGGTGGATCTGGGTTGACTCATCACGAGTCTGACTCCTTTGGCTTTCAAGTACGCGTCAGAAACTAAACTCTAGCGGGGGAATCTGGTTCCTCTGCTTTCTTTACCAGTGTTTTTTTTTTTTTGTCTCCACCAGTGAAACCAGCAGCTCCACCATCAGGTAACAGACTGGAGGATATGTCACTATTCCAGCTGTAGCATCCGGACAGAGTCAGGATGCAGATCCTGGTTGTCAAGCTGCTTGGTCTGCTGGGACTGTTTGGTCTCATGCTGGCTGGCATACTTGTCCCAGTGCGCCTCCTGCTGGTCGACTATGAAAAAGCCAACAGGTACAGACGAGGGCTGGCTCTGTGCAACTCATTTGGAGGAGGTGTGTTCCTTGCAACATGCTTTAATGCCCTGCTGCCAGCCGTCAGAGACAAGGTAAACACACACAGCAGAGACCCCATTTACTCTTAGGAAAGGTTCGATCAGCTGCACACAGCTGGGGGAGGAAAGAAGGACATCATGGAACATATTAAGGAAAAGGCTGAAGGATAAAACCGCTGCAGCTAAAACGAAACTCTTCTTATAACAATAAAAGATTAAAATGTAGAAACATAAAACACTTGAACAGCCACAGCTAATCGGGAAGAGGAAACGGCTCCATCTGATGATCAGATACCGAAGAACCTCTGAACGAGTCTTTCTGAAGCTGATTTAAAACCCAGCTGTGGTTCCCCAGAGACTGCAGGTTTCCGGTTGTTCATCAGAACTGATGGTTTGTTTCTGGTTCATGTTGATCACTGTTTATTTTATGCTATAAATTGGATCTCTGCAGATTCTGATATCTGATAAAAAACAGAGCTAAGTTTGCTTAATGTTCTTTTTAAGAATAAGTCCTCTCTACAAGCAGCAATTATACATTTGAAAAGACACTTGGTTATCCCAAAAGGCAACGATTATATGGGGCTGCTCCTAAAATATCCAATATTGGTACACCGATAAAGACACTCAGTTTATGTAACCTGTTGGTTAATTGTAAATGGGTCAATTTTCATTTCTATTGTTGATGACTATTGTTCTCAGTTTGATTAAAGAGAATAAAGAAAACTGAGCGTTATTAACAGTTGGTCTCTAAACTTTCATCCTTCTCCAGTTTCTGAAATGGAAAATGAAAAAGTCAAAATTGATCCAAATCATATTTTTCCTCTGATTTCTACCCAGATGTTTGATCTCTTCTCTGTCTCCATGGAAACCCTGACCGCTGTCCTCTCTGCAGGTGGACGGCGTCTTCCAGCAGCTGCAGATCATCAGTGATTATCCACTGGCTGAAACCATGATGATGGTGGGGTTCTTCATCACGGTGTTCGTGGAGCAGGCCATTCTGACCTTCAGGAAGGAGAAACCGTCCTTCATCGACTTGGAGACCTTCAACGCCGTTGGCTCCGAGGCTGGCAGTGACTCCGAGTACGACGCGCCCTTCATCCCTTCGGCGCGGGGCTCGGCAGGCAGAGACGGACGTAGGGACAGGGGACACCACCATGCACACTTCGCACCTGGCGAGCTGGCGGGGGCAGGGCCTCTGAGGCTGGCTGGTCTGGTTCTGGCCCTGTCCGCACACTCTGTGTTCGAGGGGCTGGCTCTCGGACTGCAGGAGGATGCCGCTAAGCTGGGCAGCCTGTTCTTGGGTGTGGCCATCCATGAGACGCTGGCTGCCGTCGCCCTGGGTGTCAGCGTGGCCAAGGCATCGCTCAGCATGAAGGACGCCGCCAAGCTGGCCGTTACAGTCAGCCTGATGATCCCGCTTGGGATCGTGGTGGGGATGGGCATTGAGTCGGCCCAGACGCTGGCGGGTAGCCTGGCATCGGTGCTGCTGCAGGGAATCGCTGCTGGAACCTTCCTGTTTGTCACCTTCTTCGAGATCCTGTCTCCAGAGCTGGAGGACAAAAGGGACCGGCTCCTCAAAGTCCTCTTCCTCATCCTGGGCTACGCAGCGCTGGCTGTCCTCGTCTTTATCAAGTGGTGACAGACAGAAAATGGGCGAAGTCTCTCCTCTGTTGTAGATCACTTTAATGCCACGTCACTCCCTGTTTTTGCTCCGCCCCCTTTAGGTTGAAAGCAGGTACTACAATCTAAAAAGGAAGTGTATAAATCTTTTGATGTTTGGAGCTTTAATCGAGTCATATCGTTCTAATTTACCAATAACATCCTCTAAAGTCCTCTTTATGTTCACGTTTGATCCTTTTTTTGGGAAAAAAATTTTTATTTAGACCCTTTTATCTTGAGAGGGTACCTACAAGAATTTGCTGATGGATGTGCTTGTTCATGTTAATGTAGCAGTTAGCCATGGTTTGTTTACCATCTTCTGCTCTCTGACACAACAGGTAGAAAGATACATTTATTGTTTGGATGCAGGGAAGTCCCTGATTGGTGAAATAGAGACTGGAGAAGGGATAACAAGGCGAGCTAATGTTAGCATGGTGATAGCCAGGTGAGCTAATGTTAGAATGGTAATTAGCAAACAGAGCTAATTGTAGCGTGGTGATAGCTAGGCGAGCTAATGTTAGCATGTTGATATTAAGATGAGCTAATGTTAGCACAATGATAGCAAGCTGAGCTAATGGTAGCGTGGTGATAGTAAGGTGAGCTAATTTTAGCACGTTGATAGCAAGGTGAGCTAATGTTAGCCTGTTGATAAGCAAGGCAGGCTAATTTTAACATGGTGATAGCAAGGCTGGCTAATGTTAGCGTGTTGATACCAAGGTGAGCTAATGTTAGCACGATGATAGCAAGCTGAGCTAATGGTAGCGTGGTGATAGCAAGGTGGGCTAATGTTAGCATAGTGATATCAAGGCTGGCTAATATTAGCATGGTGATAGCAAGGTGGGCTAGTGTTACCATGTTGATAGCAAGGTGAGTTAATTTTAGCATGTTGATAGCAAGGTGAGTTAATTTTAGCATGTTGATAGCAAGGTGAGCTAATGTTAGCATAGTGGTAGCAAGGAGGGCTAATGTTAGCATGGTGATATGAAGGTGAGCTAATATTGGCGTGGTGATAGCAAGGTGGAATAATGTTAGCTTGTTGATAGCAGGACAGGCTAATAATAGCATGGTAATAGACAACAACACATAAATTCAACAGGAAAACATTTGATAACTCCTGACAATAATAAGCGAATAGATGGTTCTGTTTGTTATCAGTGTTAAGATACTAGAGCAGAGAAGATAAACAAAACATCTAATAGTAGATTCTGGTCCCTGAAACTTGAAGTAAAGGATCCAAAGTGTGTCTTTAGCTGGTCACTTTGAATTCGATCGACACAACAAACGAAACACATCTATAAATGTACATATCTCTGTGAGACCTGGTATTTCCAGGGACCCGTACCACAAGTCATGCCCAACATAGTGGGATTACTTCCAGCCTATCCAATTTAACCAATCCACAATAATTGCAATCAGGATCAGCAGTACCACGAAGCTGGTTATCAAATCGCTAACTCAGTTACAGATTGAACTGATCATGAGCAAGTATAAAGCATGCGGTTCAAGATAGCAGATCAAGCACAATCATGAGCACAGAAGAGACAAAGCAATACGGCTTCTTCGAGAAACAAAAACACATCTTACAGATATAAGAAAAAAAGAAACAAGCCTCAATGAAAAGTCAAACTGGGTTTTGACACGAAAGACGGCAAATATCATGGTAAAGGATTGCTGACTGCATAGATGATCAAGATACACATCAGTGTAATTTACCACAGCCTGCATCCCAATCATTGTACTCTATGTTAATCGCATTCCCCCCTGGAGTAAAGAGAACTTGGGAACAAATAAAAATAAAACAGAAAAACATAATCTCATCTGGTTAGTTGGATTTTTTAATTAATAAAGTTTGACTAAAATAAACCTGGAAGCTAATGCCACGACTACATCATATACATTTTTTACCTGTTGGTTAACCATTAATCCCCCATCAGAACAGCCTCACTGTAACATCTACCCCACTCATTCATAGTGTTACAGCAAACAAGAAAAAAAAAAATATAAATATATATTCCTGCAGGTCGCACAGCCAACACACGGTTGCAGGATCTGTATCACTTAAATAAGTAATTGTCAGAGTGACCCAAAGGATCTTCTCACAATTTGCGGTCTGATGTTATTATATTTTTTAAATTTAGATTCATATAACATTTATACAAGAAATCAGTGAATGCCAGCAGCATATTAGGACATTATACAAGAGAAAACAAATACAGAATGGTAAAGGTTTGGTCTGAAAGGAAGCAAAGAAAAAAATTGATTAAAAACCACTCCGTTTTTCAAGAACATATTTTAAGTGCTGTTTAATTTTTAAGTTCTTTTATCATGATGTTATGTTTAAGTTCTGTTTGCCTCTGAACTAAATCAGGGCTCTGGGTGGAGCGTTTTCTAGGATTCAGATCTTTCCTGAAAGCTAATATGTTATCATAGCGACTAGTCTCGCTAAGATTGAATCCAGCTTTGTGATACCGGATCCTCAGGGTTCAGGCTGAAGTTATCTCGCTAACCTATTACTGCTTTCTGGTACAGGCCCCTGGTGTTCTTTACCTTCATCTAACCAGGATAATCCCACTTAGATTAAAAACCTCTTTTATTGTATTTCTGGCTAAGAGGCAGCAACAAATAAAAGACAAAGTTACCTAGTTATGGATTTCTGAGTTTAATGTAGAATATATTTCTAAGCAAATGTAATATGAGTAAAAATAACAGAAACAGTAAATGAGAAAAATAACAGAAAGTTGATTCTAAAAAAAAAAGGAAAACAGTAGTTTTCAAAGTTATAAATACAAGATTTAAAAAAGCGAAAAGAAAATGACCAAAAAAATAAAATACTTATGCTAAGAAGATCTTCCTTGCACTGTGTAGTACCTGATTTCTCCTGTAGGGGGCCGATCGCAGCGCAGCGACAGGGTGAAGGAGCCTAGTGAATGTCTCTTATTTATTTGGAAGTTTTGTCATTTAGATGTTTGTGTTCAGCTCAGAGAAGCTGGACTTTTGCTAATGGAGATTTTTCTGTTTCAAGTTTTTTTTTTTTTTTTTTTTTTTGCCAGAACCAGACTTGGACAGAAATCTGAGCCGTCAGACCGACTTCCAAGAACCAAAGACCCTGTTTTTTTAAATAAATTTTTATCCCTGGACCTTATCTGTCAAGATTTTACTGCTGTAACACGTTCCTGCCTTTAGAAAATGTCCCTCAGGTTCTACAGGTTACGTTTAACAGGAATGGTGTCATGAGAGATTTCTGGGTTTGTGGAGATTTTAGAGGAATTGTGGAGAATTTTGAATTGAAAAAGCTTCCTTGATGGGAAGAAAACGTCTTCAAACTTAGAAACAAATAGCAGTTTTTTAACTTTTGGAAAGATTTATTTGGCTAATTTCAGGCTGAACTGGACCTCTGCTGCATGACCAGAAGGACAAGAACAAGACCGTTCAAACTCTTTTATATACTAAGCCTGTAAATCCAACTAGAGGAGTTCCATCTTGATCATGTTCATCGCATTCAGATCGGGATCTCTCTTGGGATCTAAAACATCCTTTCAGAGCTTTGCCTCACAGTAGTTTTCTGATTCCACTTGGTCAGTTGAACCCGAGAGGACAGAGAGAAAAACCAACCTTTAAAAGATGAGAATCTTCTTACTTCACCTAAAGCTCACGAGTCTGTGGTTCAGGTTAAATTCAGAGGTATGCAGCAGTCCAAACAGTCTGGACTAAATGGGTGTAAAGTAAACTGAGATGCAGTTATGAAGCACTAATACAGAACCTAATGTCACCTGAATTACTTTAAATCTGATATATGATTCCATCAGAACCGTTCATTTTGGGTTATTCTGCATTTAAATAGGTTCTGCTTTTAAGCTAAAAATCTAGCAGAAATTTGAACCCAGATGTTTCCCCCGTTCCACCATCCATCCAGGATCTGGGTCAGTAAAGGAGGTTCTTCTCCAGCGGTTCCTCCTGCTGGTTCTTCTCTCCGGGTTCAACATCCAAGGGTTCTCCTCCAAACCTGTATTAAGATGATGAAAATCCAGAACCTGGACCTCACGGGTCCAGCTGATCCCTGCAGTCCCTCTGGTCTCCAGAACCTCCTCCACCTATGACATCACTTCCTGTGGTTTAGTGTAAGCTGATGAAATGTCTGCAGGTAGAATCCATGAAGCTGGTTTTTAGTCCGCGTCCCTTTTGTGATCAGTCGTGTTCTGTGATTTGACTTGTCAGTTGAAAATAAATGGATGAGAAGCAGGAATGGAGTCAAGACTGGTTCTTCAGCTTGTTTGTACAGGATATAATAAATTATACATTCATAAAATGAATGGAACAATGATTTATTAATCCCCCAAAATTACTATTGCTTATTAAACTGATAATTGTCTTAATGAAGTTGATGAAAAGCAGCTGGACGATGCTAATTAAACTGGGACTACAGCTGAAAAACTACAGAAACCCAGTTACCTAAATGAAGCAAACGGCTAAAGTTCTGCGTTATAAAACCAAAACAGGAAGAGTTGAATATAAGAATGTGTCACACAGAACTCAGGGAAGAGATACATTTTTTAGACTCCATGGCTGAATCCCAAATCGCCCCCTAAGCACTATACTTAGACAGATTTATTTTGTCATTTTGTATACATAAGTGTAAACAAAAAGAAATTTCGTTAACAGCTCTCTAGACAATTTAATTTTTTAAAGTGCAGCCTTGAAAACAGTAAACAAATACATAAAAACAGCAATATAAACATATAACTGTATATTTAGTTCTAACATTCCATTTTTTAAATAATTAATATAATAAGATACAATAAAACAATATTACATAACAGTCAGCAGTCTAACTTAAGTTAACGTCTTACTAACCCTTAACTATCAAGTGCATAGTGACAAAAAATCAAACATTTTCCCTTTTCTTAAAGCACATGTATACAGTCAGATAAAACTACCGTAACACCCTGAATATAAGGAGACCCCCTCTTTCCAGGAGCAGTTTTTAAGGAACAAAAGAAAAAGACTTTTAATAAAATATTTTATATTGAAGTGCTAACAAATTAATTGAATGTAATATTGCATTGAAAGATTTGTGCAATTAAACAATAAAAAGTAAAAAAAACAAAAAAAAAAACAGTAACAACACCTTTTTTTAAATCTTGCAACAAGCAACTTCAACAACAATGCAATCTGCTTACAGAACATCTCCTGCATGAGGCTTTTACTCACTGATGTCCTCTGCCTCACTACGCTCGCTATCACTCCTACCCTCACCCTGCAGATTTGATCGTTTTTCACAGCGTTTTTATTGTCATTACACTGTCACAAGTACAGCGCAACAAAATTTACTCTCTACATTTAACCCATCCCCTGGGGATGGCAGTAGGCTAACATTTGTGGCGCTTGGGGAGCAGTTTGGGGTAACTTTGCTCATGGAGCCAGAGTGGCAGTGGGTTTCATACTCACAACCTTAGGATTCCAAGCTCTATGCGCTAACCACTATGCCATGATTATAATAAGCCTTTTTTTGCAGTTCGCATTTTTGTGGACTTTTTGAACGTGCCCTCTTCTGACTTTGCACTGACGAGGGGACCACTGGACATCTGTCAATAACCATAACTACCTGTGCGTCTCTGTACACCTCATCGATGCCAGAAGGGAACTTCAATCTTTCGCTTTAGGGAGATGATGTTTTTAAATAAAATTTCATATTACCACGACAAGACGAATGATTACCACATTATGTTTGTTTCTTGATGATTGCTTGGGTGAATGTGGGTAAAGTGGGGAGCTTTTTGAAAATGTAGCTTCTGTAGTATTTGCTTAGCCTATTTAATTTCTAGAGCTAGAGTATCATATAATAAACATTTTTAAAACCTTGGGATATTTAAATCACCAGAGACATTCTAAACACAGATTCTAGTATTTTCCTCAAACGCTGCTGCCCCAAAGTTTGGCCCCAAAGTTGGTCTGCCTGAGTGAATTGTGGAAAAAGGAGAAATAGGGCTTGGACTGACTGAGACAAAGCTACTGACTGTTCATCGTAACCTATTATGTAGGCCTATAGCTCAGAATTCATGTTCGTCTGAATAAACACTTATTAAACACAGATACATCTTATTTAGTATTATTTACAGTATTTACATCACCAGTTATCATAGTAGAAAAGCTTTCTCAACCAGTTGATGCATTTTGGAAACTGGATATATGCCCCTTGTCTAATGGACCACCTGCCTTGGAAACCTACTGAAAAACGTACTTTTACTTATTATTTAGGTAGAACACACATACCATCCTTATCTTATTTTATTCTTACCCTTACCTTATTTTGTTCTCATCCTTACTTAATTCTTTTATCTTATTTGTACTTAAAATCTTATTTTCCTCTCTTCTGTAAACGGTTGCAGTGCAAGAAAAGAATTCCCTGCAAGAGATTAATAAGATAAATGTGATTCTGGTTCATGAAACCTTTTGGCAGAATTCAAATGAGGGAGATTTATCTAAAGTAAGGAAATTAATCTAACCCCACCACTTAAAAAAAAAAAAAAAAAAAAAAAAATATATATATATATATATATATATATAATTTACTATCTCTGTGTTCTCCAACCATGAACCCACAGAGTGCTTATTAATTTAACTTGCAAACCAATATTGTCATTGTGGAGGAAATAGAATGTTTTTGTGTTATTTGGTTTGGATGTATTACTTTGGCTACATTTTATGGTTAAAATTGAACACGTTCCCAGTCATTAATGCTCAATTTTGAGTGGTAGTTCATATTATATGACTTGGGTTTCTACTTTACACATGACAGCTTTCTGTAATTCGATGTCTCGAAGAAAAAAAACAACATGCTGTATATATCAAGTAGTAGAAATGATTTTACCTCATGTCATGAACACAATGAGGGAATAAATATTCTTTATATTTATACAGCTTCACATTTACACAAGTTTTTATTTCCTGTTATTGAAATTTGATTATCAAAGGAGTAAGACACTGCTTCAGTAATGTAAAAGAGGAGCGATCTCGTCTCTGTTCATTTATTCAAAGTCTAACAGCTGATGGCAAAATCATTAATAAGAAATGGGTGTGGGGAGGTAAGAAAAAAAACACATCCTAGAGATGTTTATCCTCATAGAAACCAGGCAGGAAAAAACACTCGACATATCAAAAACAAAACAAGAAAACTGTTCTGTTGAATTCACACTCTTTCATACAAAAGACCTCTGAACTAGAAATACATAAATGCATGTTCTTCAGCTACTTAAAATATGCGACTGTGCATAGATCATTTCCTGTTTGTTCCAGTTTTCAATGTTTTAGTTATTCTGACGGCTCTACAATCATACTCTCTATCCTTAAATATTTTTATATGTTATATATCATTTATCGATTCTTGTTTGACCCAGAGCTGTCGGATTCCCATGATAATAAAATACTAGAAAACGGTCCTAGACAGTTATTGAGCTGTTAGTTAACAGTTAGTGAACTTTTAGTAAACATATAGTAAACAGTTAGTGAGCTGATAGTAAATAGTGAACTATAAGCAAATTGATAATACGGTAAACAGCTAATAAAAAGTTAGTGAGCTATAAACCGTAAACAGTAGTGAACCATTAGTAAACAGATAGTAAACAGTTAGTGAACTATTAATAGACATATAGTAAAAAGTTATTGAACTATTAGTAAACTGATAGTAAATAGTTAGCGAACTATTAGTAAACAGATAGTAAACAGTTAGTGAACTATTAGTAAATAGTAAACAGTTAGTGAACTATAAGCAAATAGATAATAAACAGCTAGTAAAAAGTTAGTGAGCTATAAACCGTAAACAGTTAGTGAACCATAAGTAAACAGATAGTAAACTATTAGTAGACTGATAGTAAACAGTTATTGAACTATTAGTAAACTGAGAGTAAACAGTAAGTGAGCTGTTAGTAAACATATAGTAAACAGTTAGTGAACCATTAGTAAACAGATAGTAAACAGTTAGTGAACTATTAATAGACATATAGTAAAAAGTTATTGAACTATTAGTAAACTGATAGTAAATAGTTAGCGAACTATTAGTAAACAGATAGTAAACAGTTAGTGAACTATTAGTAAATAGTAAACAGTTAGTGAACTATAAGCAAATAGATAATAAACAGCTAGTAAAAAGTTAGTGAGCTATAAACCGTAAACAGTTAGTGAACCTTAAGTAAACAGATAGTAAACTATTAGTAGACTGATAGTAAACAGTTATTGAACTATTAGTAAACTGAGAGTAAACAGTAAGTGAGCTGTTAGTAAACATATAGTAAACAGTTAGTGAACTATTAGTAAACTGATAGTGAATAGTTAGTGAACTATTAGTAAACTGATAGTAAACAGTAAGGGAGCTGTTAGTAAACAGTGAACTATAAGTAAATAGTAAACAGTTAGTGAACTATAAGCAAATAGATAACAAACAGCTAGTAAAAAGTTAGTGAGCTATAAACTGTAAAAAGTTAGTGAACTATTTGTAAACAGATGGTAAACAGTAAGTGAACTATTAGTAAAAATATCTTAAACAGTTAGCAAAAAGATAGTGAGCTGTTAGTAAACAGGTAGTGAACCTTTAGTAAACAAATAGTAAACAGTTAATAAATATTTAGTGAGCTGTTAGTAAACAGTGAATTATTAGTAAATATATAGTAAACAGCAAAAGTTACTGAGCTGTTAGTAAACATTTAGTGAACTATTAGTAAATACATAGTAAACAGTAAGTGAACTATTAATTAACAGTTAGTAAATAGTGATCTGCTCGTAAACAGTTTGTGAACTATTAGTAGGCAGATAGTAAACGTTTAGTAAATAATGAGCTGTTAGTAAACAGTTAGTAAATAGTTAGTGAGATGTTATCTGTCTGAGGAAAGCAGCTGCTCGTACAGACTGGCTGCTTTGCAGCTTTGGGTTCTCCACCCTCTGAGGTGAGAAACCAGCACCGCTCCAACAGCGACATGATCCCTGCAGAGCCTGAATCTATGATTGAAGCCCCAGGAAAGCTTTGGTGGATCTTCAGGAGGCCTTAAGAACCACTGATCAGGATCCTTTTACTATATCACATGAAGGAAAAATCTAGCGATCTTCTGTACAGCGTTATTATTTCCTGTTATTAGATAAACAGAACAGTTGGATCTAAACTGCTGTTTTACATGTTTACGGGTCCAGTTTGTTGGTTTCCAACAGCCGTGACCTCTGAGCACTTTCCTGCAGGAAACAACAACAGATGCCACAACAAAGACAGCTGAGGTTTTCTCTACCCCCACACCCTAAGCCTCTTAAAGTCTGACTGCAGCCGTCCTGCAGGAATGCTTGGCTCTCTTCGCTGATTGTTTAATCCTTCCATGGAAAAGGTGAGCTTCTCTGTGGATATCACAGGTTTGTCTCGGTGCCAGGACGACCCCGACACCTCTGAGGGCATGGAGGAGCTTTTGTTACAGAGCAGCGAGGAGGAGACCTGCTCCAACCAGAGTCCTTTCACTCCAGGAGCCACAGGGAGGACTGCGGTGGACCAGGTCAAGGCCTACCTGATGGACAGGATAAGGAGGGTCCGCTGGAGGAACGTGAGGGACTTCTGCAAAAGGAATGGGCTGCTGACCCTGTCAGTTATTGCTGTGATTACTGGCTGTACGTTGGGCTTCATGCTGAGAGGAACGGAGCTGTCAACACAGGTACAGAACTGAAACCATTGGGTCCAACAGTTGTAACCAGGCGAGCAGAGTCCACTGAGGGTCTCTGACTCTCTGCTTTTAAAGTTCTGTCAGGTTCCCCCCCAGCTATGCAGGTTCTCTTATTTTGTTTGACAAGCTGGTCCTCCAGCAGGGGCGGAACCAGGACTTTCCTAAAGCGTGCCAGGCTCAGACGCATACGTAAGGCGGTACAAAAAAAAACACAACGAGGACAGTTTGTCCTCGTTAGGTTCTGTTTCAGTACTCAATCGCTGCATCTCTGTTTGCTTTAAGACAGGTTTGGTGTTTGTTGCATGCTATACAGAAAGACCGGAAAAATGTTTCAGACTAAACCATTGAGGACTGAAATTCTCTTAAAGCTCAGAGTTAAAAAGAAACGGTTCATCTGAATACTTCCTTTCTCATTCAATAAGGATGTGAGTTTATGCACTTTGCTGTTTTCCAGTTTATGTCTAAAAAACAAAAACATTTAAGACAATAAAGTCAGTTAAAGGTTGCAGCTTCTAGTAGACTCATTAAAACACAAAATAAGATAAATCTTTGTTTCCACCGAGGCAGTTTTTCTCTCACAGAGATGTTGGTCTGTTTCTACGTCTCCTCACATTTTTGGTTTCTGGAAAAGATTGACTCTGATGAAATGCAGAGTATGGCAAATGCAGATAATTTACAAAAACATTGGTAATGTAGCACAGGTAACAGGCAGTAGTAGAAAGATCCAGAGACAAAGAATGAACAACCAAAAGCTTCAATGCAGCTGAAACTGAATGGAAAACATGCAAAGAACCAGAGGAGCCGATTTGAGGAAACGTGGAACAGCTGTGGCCGACTAAAGGCAGGGAAGCTGAGGAAGGATGAATAATTCACGTGAATAGAGCTGAGCTTTGGCACAAAGAAACTACAATCAACAGGAGAAGCTAAGATCTAAGAGGAACAAATCGATATACAAAAAAGAGAGAACACAAGATAACTAAACACAAACTTGTGGAATAATCATTAATGGAACAAATAGCAGCTCAGTACAGCAAGACCATTGGAAACAACAATGCAATGAAGAAAACACAAACCCCAAACACTTGGAGCAGGATTCCGTTCCAGAGAAGGTCTGCTGGAGCAGAGGAACATCTGATGATGTGTTCAAACCAAACACCATTCCTGCTAATATTTCTCCTCATGTCGCACTGCTTACGTTTTACCTGTGATTCTGTGGTCAAACGATGACAGCCCTTCACTGGCATCCCCATAGAATGGGAACAGCTTATATTTGCTGCTTTCTGGTTTGAACTAAACACCTGATTCAACAAAGTGAGTCATTGTGCTTTATTCATTGTTGTTCCTTATGGGAGGCCAAACAGTCGCATCACTTTCCGGGTCCACCAGATCCTCCAGACATGCTCACCATTCATGTAGCTACAGTTGGTTTACAGACACTTCATGCTGTACCTCAATACAGGTGAGACTCCAAGCTGTTATCTCACTTTGGGACGGATCACTGGAACAAAAGAGGTAAGAGCAGCAGGAGCTCCGGAGCTCAGGCAGGGGCTGAGAGTGCATCGGAGCTGGGCAGAGGCTGCAGCTGGTTGGCCCCGCTCTGGAGCTCTGGGAGGACAATGGGAGAGCTGTTAAAGATGCCAGTCAGAGAGAGCAGCTCAGCCAGTGAGAGGCAGCGGCTGGCCTGGACCAGCTCAGGAACTCCAAGAGGACGACGAATGAAGAAGGATTTGACTGCCCTTTTTGGAGCTAAAGTAAAACAGCTTTTTTAAAAGCCTCCAACAAACCCTTAAGGAACTTTCCTACTTTATCTGATGTCAACATTAATTTTTCTATCACCATTTTGATCTAATAAAGCTTAGTTGCCACTGCGCCGCTTCACCCCCCCCTACATAAAACTTTTTTTGTTTCTTTTTATTTTATTCACCCTAATTGCGCCCTTTTTTATGTAAAGAACAAAAATGCCATATCTAAGATTATTAAGGTGTGCAGTAAGATCATGGGTGTTCAACAGAAAAACATGACTGAAATGTATGAAGATCAGTTAATTAGCAAGGCGGATTCCATCTTGGATAATTATACCAAACCCCATAATGAATATCCACCAGCTCGGACCAATAGATACAAACACCTCTTTATTCCCTCTGCTGTTCAGCTGCTAAACTCTACTAGGAAAAGCAGATAGCCATATGTTGCATGCATATAGGCCTATGCTCTCATTCATCCCCTGCACTGAACGCATATATTTTTTTCTCTGTCTCTTTTATCCACCTTACTTTTATCTTTTTAAAATATTTTATGTGTTTCTTCTTTTATTTTTCATCTGTGATTTGTGAAATGTGAGCGTGTGTGCGAAAGGTATACTACTATTGCACAAAAATTGCCCATACTGGGACAAATAAAAGCTACTGAACTGAACTTAGCATCACTACAGGCGCGTCCTTCTCTTTGCTTAGCTTCCGAAACTTCTCTAGAAAACATGCTGTCCTACTCAAAAAGAAACACAATAAAAATCCTGTAGCTCTGAAGGTGCTTTAATTAGAAAAATAAGTTCTGATCTGGAAGGTCTGATAAAATGAAAAAAAGCTTAAGTCCAAACCCTGACAGTCCATCAGAAACGTCAGAGGGGCTGCTGGTTTCAGTCCCATCTGCCTCTATTAGGCTAATAACTAATTATGTCTCCAGTTTGAGGTGTTTATCAGGCAACATTTAACATTTAGTCCTGAGTTGATGTGTTAGAAAGAAAACTGGGTCAAAATCTCTCCCACCTGCAGCTCTGTTTGGGACCCACAGTGATGAGTATCTATTGAAGTAACGAACCACCATCAGGCTCTTTGTTGAACCTTGGGAGGATGGGTTGGCCTGTTTTTTCTGATCCAAAGGAGGAGCTGCTGTAGCTAAGGTTCTGACAGAAAGGACAGACTCTGCAGACCATCATAGTTCACAAGTCTATTTTTATTTCCATGTTGATTTTTAGATGTGTCATAGAAAAGTCTGCCAAGTGGAGGTGGAGTGATGGTGGAAGCTTGGACATGTAAGAGTTCTGCTGAAGCTCCCGGGCTTTAAGAAGAGGGCTGTGAGGTCAAAACAAACCTAAGGCAGCTTATCGTCTCGTAAACTTTATCAACTTTTTGAAACATCTGCACGAACCTTTTGATCTAGTCAGAGGTTGAAAACAGAAATTATCACAACATTAAATATGATTGAATAAGGATGAAGAATTAAAAAGTTAGAGAATCCGACTCATTATTAAAAAAACGCGAGCTTCAAACCTGAGCTTAATGAGCTGACAAGATTTATAAAAACATTAAAGTTATGATAACCTGAACTAATTATACCCTAATCTGCCCTGAGGGTTTTGTGCTTAAAAATACAAAACAGAAACAAATCAATAATAGCTCCACAGTTATCAGGTCTAAGTTAAACCATCTGGAACTGTAATAAGGTAAAGACAGAAAATAATATTTTCCCATCAAAACCAGGATCCCAGCTTTTATTCTTTTGTGAGTTTTTAGGACACTAGTGTCTCGTTTTTCTGACAGTAGGCTGACAGGAAAGGGCGTATAAGAAAGGGGGAGAGACATGCTGCAAAGGACCGCAGGCTGGATTCAAACTGGGGTCAGCCGCGTCAAGGACTTAGACCTCCGTACATGGGTTGTGCACACTAACCACTGCGCCACCTGCATGCCCAGTATAGCAGATTTTACCGTTGTATGATTTATTAGTATTTAAACAAAGAAAATATGTTCTTTGTTTAAATAAAATATATTTGTGTTTAACTTTGTCTAAAGTCTTTTTGAAATTCCTTCAATCCATTTTCTGTCATGAGGGGTTCTGATGCCTATCTTTAGCTGTCTATGGGCGAGAGGCGGGGTACACCCTGGACAGGTCCCCAGTCCATCACAGGGCAACACAGAGACAAACAGGACAAACAACCATTCACTCACACACTCACACCTAAGACGAATTTAGAGAAGCTAATTAACCTAATTTTTGATATTAACAGTTAAGAAAAAGTCCCTTTGAAAACCTCAGATTATATTGATCAATATCCATCCATCTTCTCCCGCTTCCATCAGGGTCACGGCGGGGCTGGTGCCTATCTTCAAGCCAGGGTCCACCCTGCATAGTTCGTCAGTCCATCGCAAGACGACACAAAGACATTGCACACATGCACTCACACCCAAGGACAGTTTTAGGAGGAGCCATTTAACCTAACAGACATGTTATTGGACTGTGGGAGGAAGCCGGAGTACCCAGATAGAATCCAGGCATGCACAGAGAAAACATGCAGAAAAACTCTGGGCCAGGAATAGAACCCAGAACCTTATTGCTGGAAGGCAACAGTGTTACAAACCATGCAACCATGCAGCCCTATTTTTCAAAATGTCTACTATAGGTGCAGCATATTTGATCCACAATGGTTTCCGTGGGTCAGGCAGAAATATTATTTTCAAATAATTCCTCCAAAACTGTGGCTAAGGTGCTTTTGGCCTCATTAAAGGGAATCTTTTAGAGCTAATTTGGGGCATAAAGTCTTATTCTTATTTTCTTTTTCTCAAAAAAAGAAAATAAAAAAATTTAATTTGACACCGAAAAGTTTACTTGAAACTAAAAATTATTTCTGAAACTGAAAAAAAGATGTAAAACTGACAAGAGATATTTAAAGATTATTTTTTTCAGTTACAAACTGCCGACCCCTTGGTGTGGGGGCTGGACTTAGATGACCTGATGTGTCAGATTATTGACTGGAGCAAAATATGCCCTGCTGTTGCATTCAGGAACTGCGGGAATTAGAAATGTCTTTTAAAAAATGATAAAACTTAATTGTTTTTCGATGATGCTTTATTGATCTAGAAATATTTCAGGTTTAAATACTTTTTCTTTTCACTTAAAAAAAATGAAGGTGGAGAGGCTCTCTGGCACTATACTCATTATAGTTTAATATAAACAGCAAACAATAACATCTACTGTAGATTGGCAATAAATGTGAT